AGAGAGATAGAAGTCAGGCTTGGTTGGCTCGATCTGCAGAAGCGGTAGCGTGAGATGGCACTGGCCTCCCCCAGGGGAGGCCTTACAGGTTTAGGGTTGAGGGTTTAGGGTTGAGGGTTTAGGCTTTATGGTTTAGGGTGTAGCCGCAGTTGGATGAGATTTTGGTATTTGCTGCCCAGTTTGATTGGATCGTGGGCAGCCCTTGACAGAGTGACTCTCAGCAGGGAATAAACATATATGAATGTTGTTGAGAAAGGCTTTCCTCTTGTTCTTCCACTATTCCGATTTATTACTACCAGTAGCAGAAGTCGTACTTGCAGTTGGCGTATCTCTAAACCCTAAACCCTAAGCCCGAAACCCTAGAGCCATAGCGTGGAGGCTCGGGCGTTCCTTGCCTCCTACGCTCACGCCCCTTGTCGCACGGCCATGGCCCCAGAAGTGTCTGTCATAGGCACAGGAATCCTAACCCTGAAGCCTGAAGCCTGAACCTCAAACCCTAAACCCAACCAACCAACCTTAAACCCTAAACAACTTGAGGCATGCACTTGAAGAAGATGACCCCAGCTTGACATCTTGTGGTGGCAGGCGTTGGTTCCTTTGTCTTCACTGTTGTTCCGTTCTCATGGCAGTTGAGTGTTTAGGGTTGGGCTTGTCACTCCTGAACCACATGATGAGGAGGCGCGTTTGGTACAGAAGTACAGACTCCCACAACGCACATGCTGAGCCTTGGAAAACAAGCCGAACCATAGCCGAAGAAACCTTTCAGATCCCAAGCTGCATGGGCAAAGCAGCCACGAGGAACTTACGACATTTCCGCTCATACTATAGTTGTTATCAGAGCTATTCGTGTAAGTGCGCGAGCAGCGACGGCGGCGGCGGCAGCAGAGCTGCTGGTGCTTCTGTACGAGAAGTCATGTTATGATCAAAAGCTTCAAGTTATTCTATGGTTACTGACAATAGCGTCTGTAGTAGATGTTGTCTGGCCTTGTCCGTGCAGGGCTGCTGCAGACTTTCGGGTAGTGTGGGATGACGAAGCCTGAGTGACATGATATGAATAAGGTAGCCTGTATCTACTTCAGGCGCAAAACTTAAGCTTACAGGAATCATGCAACTTCCTCCTTGTCATCACAACTGTCGTTGATACCATGCTAGCATCAGGAATTGGAATACGCTTGCCAGCGACTGGTGTAGGCAGGGTAGCAGGAGCAGGAGTAAGAGAGCTGGAAAAGTAATAGGGCAAACTTTATTCGAAAGAAATCGACAAAAACTAGCGGCCCTTGGAATAAACTATAAAAGATTGACTAGCACGAAAAAGGCATGTATCGAAATGAATGGGAAGAAACATGATCTATTTGACAGTAGGTTGGGGCGCTTTGCCTCCACGACATCCCAGAGCAGCGGCGTGTCGTGGGAGTGCAGGTTGGCAAGCTTTGTGTTGCGCCTGGGAGGTTTTGAGGGTATAGAACCTCCGTCAGTGCGGTGGATGCAGGCTTAACTTGAGCTTGGGCTGATAGAGCCAGCCGCTATCCGTTATGTTTTCTCGTTGATGGGGCTGCACTCAAAATTCCAAAGTCAAGGGCTGAAGCTACGACTGGCAAGAGATGTGGAATATGATGTTGGCGGAGACTATTTCTGATGTTCGATGCTGTGGACCTTTATCTTCAGACGAGATCAGACAGGGAGTGTTATGATCTCAGCAATGGCCCAGACGTTGAACGTTCTCAAAACCAGACGAGCCCTGCAACGTCAAGACTTGCAAGCACAACGAGTTAATGGCATATGTAATGTTTTGATAGTATGGCTGGCGAGTCATGAACCGGTATTATCAGGTCAAAAGATGTGATAGAGAGACGCCTGTCCCGATGAAGATTGTAGCAAAAGGCCCCCGCATGGCACTCATTGCAATATGAGTCTCTCCAAGAATAGAGGACACTGTCCTATGCCCACCAGCCTCAAAAGGGTTTAGGGTGTAGCACGCCTCTTGTCTACGTCCCACAGCAGCACAGCAATTGGCTTCTCACAGTTGATGGATAGACAAGTTCCTTCTCAGCCTGACCTACATAGATTTGTTCTGATACTCGGGCCTTTAATTTTGGTCTAAAATCCTTAACCCAAAAAGCCTAGTTTGGACCTCCTGTAACAGCTCTTTGAAGAAGCCGGGAGGTTGCAGACATCTTCTTCAAGCCCAGCATTGCTGATGAGGACTGGGAACCAAATTGAGCTATAGTCTTAACTCCTTAAAGGTGGTTATATAGGGTTTAGGGTTTAGGGGTCTAAACTCTTCGATTGGACAGCTTCAACCCTAAATTGCCGATATTGTGTGTGCGCGCGTTTTCGCATACATTTCGCGGAACCTGAGGATACCTCTGTTGGAAGAGGTTTTGGATTTCCGGCTGAGTCTTGAGGTCTAGCCGTTGCAGAACAACTTTGCAATTCACAAAAGCCTTTGGAGCCTGAATCTCACATTAGTCGGATTTCTCACCGCCGCTCTCAAACGGCCTCGAGGGGGGACATGCGTCGGTATCCTACATGCGTGCTGGTTAACCTTGCTCAGATGCCGCTCACGTCTTTGTTTCAGCTCAATTTGGGTTTGTTGTTCTTTTTTTCAGCTTGAGGCTTGCCAGGTCCATGAGTCTGTCTTCACGAGCGTCGGCGCTGTAATTCCTATGCAACGTTAATAAAAAATACCCCCCCAAACCCCTGCTCTATTTGAATAGGCCCCATGCCTGTGAAAGCTTGGCTCAAAAGTCACACGCTCCTTCCCTTACTATCCGCAAATCGAAGCAATGGCAGAGGGTCTCAGCTCGTCCTCAGCGTTCTGGTGCGTGACTGATTTTCTGTTCAGGAAACTAAATCGGGTTTACCACACATCAGCGTGCGTCTCTTTGGTTCCCTTGATAAGGAGTGTAGTCTTTTGGGGTCTAAATTTGGGACCCCCCCCCTCGATGGAAACTACCAAGCTGAGTCTTAAGTTACCAGAACATGGGCAGTTATTTGATGAGAAAATGGCGGTTTCTTTTTCCGTTAACTTAGTTCAGGTACCTCAACAGCAACCCAGGTGTTCTATGGCGTGGGGATTATTTGCACGTTGGTTGCCTACGGCATTTTGCAGGAGGGCATCATGACAGTGGCTTACGATGGAAGCCTCTTCAGATACTCTGTCTTCCTGGTTCTGTGCAACCGACTGGCTGCAGTCGTCTTTGCTGTCTCCATGGCAATTGCAAAGGGCGAGTCCATGAAGAATGAGGCACAAGGGGTATGTTCAAATAAATATTACACCTCTATTGCCCTTAATCCCTATACTATCCTTCTGAAGCCACATTTTTTCTTAGGGCCCCCCAACCTACTGTAGGCACCCCTGTGGAAATATCTCGTTGTCTCGCTGTCCAACGTGTACGCCAGCTCCTGCCAATACGAGGCCTTGAAGTATCTGCAGTCTCCTTAGGATTTTTTTGAGCTTTCACTATAGTATAACCACCACGAATTGTTGAAACCAGTTTTTTTTACAGTATACCCCTAAGGAGTTATTGCAAAGAAGCACATCTTTTCGTACTCTAGGTCTAAGGGGACTACAGGTATTATTGAAAAGAAACACATATTAGGTACTGTAGGTCTAAGGGGACTACAGGTATGTCTCCTTTGCAGTGCAGATGCTCGGGAAGAGTTTCAAGATGATGCCTGTAATGATCCTGAGTTGCTGTTCAGGAACTTGATTTAAAGTAGAATAACAAGGAAACCTCATTATCTATAATATTGGGGTTATATTACTTGATTTAAAGTGGGCTTTGGATTATATAGGGGTATAATATTGGGGTTATAATGGAAAAGAAAATGGAAACTATCATTTAGGGTTTAGGGATTAGGGTTTAGGGTTTTAAGTAGTATTTTATTTGGGGATAGTATGGTACCCAATATAGAGTAAGATTATGTCCTCCTTTTTGGGGTATAGTATTTTATATGAGGAATACTATCTTACTAGGTTCAACCACAAAGAAAACGCTACTCGTTTAAAGTAGAATAGCAAGGAAACCTCATTACCTAATGTATTACTACCCGTATTAAGGACACTGAATTTAACTGAAAGTGATAAGGGAATCCCATCATTTACTATATTACCCATATTCTGGAACCCAGGATTTGGGGCATGATCATCTCCGGAAAGTCCTACAGTGCGAGGGATTGGGTGGTTGCTCTGTCTGTCACCCTGGGCTGCACCGAGTTCCTGATGACAGGACCAACGCACTCCAAAGTTGACGCCAACAACAGCTTCAAGGGCTTTTTCTTGCTTGGCGGATTCCTGGCCTTAGACGGCTTGACGTCAACCTTCCAAGAGAAGCTGTTCAAGGAGCACAAGACCACTAAGTATAACCAGATGTTGTACATCAACCTTCTCTCAGCCACGGTTTCATTTCTAACCCTCTTGTTGACCGGTGACTGGGTTGCTGTTAAGGAACTTAGATTAAGTTACCAGAATGGGTACACATAGTAATTAATAGGGTTTCCCCAATATAGTAACGTAAACTAAGTTCCTTAACAGCATTCCAGGTGAGATGGGACCAGCAGCAGCATTTGGCTTCGCCCACCCGCGCTTCTGGCTGGATTGTGGCTTGCTCAGCGCATCAGCGGTTGCAAGCCAGTTCTCTGGGCAAATTATAGCGACCTTTCCCGACCTCACCCCAAATGGTATCGTAGTTTGTATGGACACTCGCAGATGTTCTTAGTTTCAGGTTCTGAAGTTCATGTAAAATGCACAGGTTCTTCATTTACTCGCAAATCAAAGAGTACGGGGCTCTGGTCTTCGCTGCAACGATGAATGTCCGCCAAGTTGTGTCCATCTTGGTCTCCTATGTGAAGTATCACAACCCAGTGACGCAGTTGCAAGTTCTGGGTCTGTGCCTCATCTTTTTCGCCCTCTTCTACAAGTCCATTGCCGCCATGATGGCGGCACCCAGCAAAGAGGAAAAGATGCCAATCCTGGCGAACCAGAAAGAGATCGTGGAGTCCACATCGGAGCGAAATGATGCTGGCAAAGCTGTGTGAGTCTGAAGAGTGAGTCCTCCTGCCTGGATGTCATAAACGCTGCCTCACCAGACTGAGTTACGCAATGTGGCAGCCAAGCGCATAATGTTTAGAACGGCGGCAGAATGCTGCTCGCCCGTTTTGTAGGGCCAGTTTCCCGCAAGTATCTTCGCCTGTAGATAAACATGGAATTTCATTCTATCTGTATATGCACATTCTAAGACATGGTATCTTAATAGATTTGTTTCTTTAGTAATGAAGATCTTGTCAGATTCGAGGAAGCGTGCCAGCTGAAATTTTTCGGCACGTGGACAGTCAAAGACTGCCACAGCCAGCCTTGAACCCTCAGAGATCCTCACGGTAGCTGCGTGTCTTCATGTATTTAGGGTTTAAGTTTAGGGTTTAGGGTACTTTTTTGGGGGGTCCCAATAAGGAGGATGATCGTATTTTTGGGTACATTTGGGGTCCCCCTATTTCCGGAAGTCACCATGTCTTCATGTAGTGGTGCCGTGGCAGGTTGAGGCGATACCTGTAAAATGAGCTGCTGCGTTTGACTGATTACGTACCTGGGTTTGCTTGATTGCAATGGGATGTACGTGATATCTGCAAATGTAACATGGTGTCCCATTAAGGACTCTATATAGGGGCATTTGTGAGAAGCTCCGTTTTGGTTGTGCCGATGTCTTATCTTGCAAAACGACGGCCTTCTTTCTCAATTATTCCTCTCCCCCTAATATTCAACCCCCCAACCCCCTAATATGAAATGTTCCCACTGTACTATAATATACCACAGTGGGGAGTATTTGATATTCAGGGGGTGGCGGGGGTTTAATATTAGGCAGAGCGGATCACTCATCCCTTCCATCTGCAATGATGGCCCTTTGCCTCTGTAGTTGCGCATGACCAAGCCACGAGCCACTTTCTGGCCTTTGGTTACCTGGGAATGAAGGAATGGCAAAGAAAATGGAAGCTACTACAATGGGTTATATATGGTTTAGGGTTTAAGGTGGGAATGAAGGAATGGAAAAGAAGATGGAAGCTACTATAATGGGGCATTTAGGGACTACTATAAGGATCCAGTCCTGCTTTCCTGGCTAGCCAAGGGCCACTTTTAGCGAATCCATAATTTCCCAAGCAGCAAAGCCCTGAACGACCATGCCATGCGTAGGAACTGGAAGCTTCAAGAAGATGTACCCCTCAACCCTAAAACCTAAACCCACAAGTATGTACCTCAATTACTTCAGGTCAACAACTCCCGGTCCAGATCTCTTGAGAGTTTCTCCCAGTCTCTACAATACTGTGTTCCCGGCTTTAAAGGGGTATCCCCGCACTTCTGCATCCATCTAGCCCAAAGTACCTACTGTTCATCGATTTTTCAATAAGGCGCAAAGTACTTGGAGGGTCAGGGGGACTTAGTAAGCAGGTTAATAGCCCCCAAAGCCCCTATAGTAACCCTAGTTATCTTTATTATTAACCCACTTACTAAGTCCTAATGACCCTCCAAGTGGGAATTGGTTCTAGATTCGCCTCCCAAGGGTTTGCTTCGGAAGCAAAAAGTCCAGGACGTCCTGCAAGAACTCGGGGGCGAAAAGGCGCTGCTCGATTGTGCGGGTGCCTTGGTATGAGGTCATCCCTTAGCTGAAAAAGGCTGGATTAGGGTTTAGGGTTTAGGGTTCTTCTTGGGGTTTAGGCTGGGTTGCTGTTGAAGAACTTAGATTAAGCTACCATCATGGGTATATATATATAGAGTAAGTAAGTAATAGGGTTTTTCCAACATAGTAACGTAAATTAAGTTCCTTAACAGCAACTCAGTAGAGTTTAGGGTCTGTGGGTCACGAAGCGACCTTGCATCTGTAGAGGGATTGTAATCCGGATTCAAAGGTCTGCGTTTAAGAGTTTAAAGTGGGCTAGGGGGACTCAGGAAGAAAGTTTATAATGGAGATAACCAGGGTTACTATGTGTCCCCGAAGCCTATAAATCCTAAACCATGTACTTATCGGGATTTTAACCTGCTAAGAATAGGCCCCCCTGAACCTCCAAGTAGGGTCTCTCGAAATCGAAGTGGCCATCCTCAATGGGAGGAGCCAAATGCGCTCGCCCTGAGCTGTCAAGGTCCTTATCCAAGGTTTAGGGTTCAGGGCTTTAATGTTTTAAAGTGGTTATTGGCTATTGATGTTGTGCTGCTCTTTATCGGTGCCGTGAGCATTTCTGAGCCAACTTATGCTAAGGTCGAGCAATGTTTCTTTTTCTGCAGGATACCTGGAGGGTCAGGCGGACCTTTCGTAAGTAGGCTCGTAACTCCCATAACCTAATACACCCCAATTTTGACCTGATTTTTTAGTGACAAATACCTTCCCGAACTTGCTTTACAGCAAGGTCGGGTTGCTTACAGGATGCTTATGTTGGCCTCCCCGTAGGAACCTAGTCCTAGGCCCTAGAGTCCTTATATCATCTAGCTAAAATTCAGTGGGCATACCGTTCGCACTTGTGACTAAGCCCAAAACCCTTCACCCAGCCTGAACGCATCAGGTGCACTGATGGTGGAGCATCCCCTCATCGAGCGCCATGTGGAGCGGGTGGAAGGCTTCCCCAAGTATATTCTACTAGAGTATATTACAAAGTATTATGGTATACTATAATATGTATTACAGTATGGCATATTATAGTATATTGTGTATGAAGGGCTCAGGGTTTAGGGTTTTGGGCTTCGGTGCTTTTCAGCAATCGCAGGTGTGTATTCCGGGCTTGCAGGTGGTGACGACGATTACTACTATCAGCGGTAGTGCCGTTCTTGCTGATGCTACGCCTTGATTGCGTTCAGACAGCGCATTGCGTTCAGACAGCGCTAGGGATTGATTAGGCCCTCTTGAACTGTTCTGGTGAAGGCTTCATGGCCTGCAGGCATACCTTTCAAGCAAATACCATAGGCTCGGTGCCCTGGGGACCTGGAGGCAGGGCCGCACCCCTCTGTTGAAATCAGATAATCCGAACCATAAGCAATGCATTTTTCGCCCCCCCGCCCTAAAGCCCAAACCCTTCAAACGCATCCAGCCAAGTCCGTGCGATTTCCCTGCAAGACTGCCATTCGCCAGGATTGCATTAGATTTGCTGGCACGCATCTAAGTCATGTTCCAACTCTTGGCAACTCAAATTTTCTGTTTGAAGAGGTTGGCCTTACTGTAGCGAGCCCAAATGCCACCCAGACCCTAAACCCTAAATCCTAAACCCAGAAACCCATTTTCGGAAGCTCGTAGGGTGCTGAGAGCTCGAAGCACAGGTGGTTTGGACTCCGTGCAGGGTCTGTCTCTGCCGCTGCTTCAAGACCTATGGTGTGAGCTCAAGGCAGGTTTTCTTTCTGGTGGTTAGGGTTTAGGGTTTAGGGTTTTGGTGGTTAGGACTGTTACAGGGTGGGGGTTGTACTCAAACTAAACCCTAATTTCTAAACCCTAAATAGTAGCTTCCATTTTCTTTCCCATTATCCCTATATAGCCCCTGTATAGTCCCTACATAACCCTTATGTAGCCAACCCCCAAACCCTATTCCCGGGCCATTATTCCGTTCTGCTGGGCCAGGCACACTAACTCCCAGTTCAAGTAGCAAATCGATGGTGTATGGCAAGGATGAAATTCGGAATCCGGAATGGAACTGGTTTCGGGGTAAAGGGCTCAATTTTCTCGTCTCCGGGCTGTACGGTTCCAATCTATTCCGTACAGGACAAAAGTTCGCTCTGTTCCGTACCCTGTTTATTATTCCGTTTGGCTAAAAGCCCTATTCCGACCCCTGTTAACAATCACTAGCCCCCTTAAGCGCAACATAGCCTAAAATCTTATTCTACTTGAATGTGCTTGTCATGACCTGGATATGGTAGTTTCCCAAAATAGGGGGACCTCAATATAGACCCCTGAATACTATAGTCCTCATTATTGGCACTCCCACAAGGGGTACCCCTAATTTTGGGAAACCAAAAAACCCTATATATGGTCACGCCCCGGCGGGCTCCCGCCCCCCCTCCCCCCCCCATGGTATGGTCCCTATCTTCTAAGCTCTAAATCAAGATTAAACTATAACCC